TAAGAGTGAATAACCACTCAGATACAAAATAGTGATAAAAAATAACTTCCTAAAAAGAGCACATCAGAATTCATCCTCTCGTCGACTCTTCCTTAAAGAACTCAACAATGCAAAACAGGCATTAGTTAACAATGGCTCCTCTAACCAACTTATAGGCCACCAAATTAGACTATTTCTTCCCAAAGTAAATAACAATGTTGGTGAACACAAAGTTATAAATAACATAAATATTTTCTACAAAAGCCAAATACACGTCAATTAGAAAAAAGATGAATCTTCACTTAGAAATATCAAAAAAATATACACTACCCCAATTGACCCGAACAAAAATCAAATTAATTGTCTACTACAAAAAGTTGAAAAACAGCTTACCTTATCCGCAAAAATAACAACACGCCAGCAAATTCAAAATTACAACTTACAAACATTATCTATGAGTTCAAATGCCCCTAACGGAACTGTGTTCCTGATCAAACTGAATTCATAAATAATTATATCGGTCATACTAGTATAAGCCTATCCTGACGCCTTACGGTACACCTATCCAACCATAGCTCCATTAGAATCCATTTAAACACACACACACACACAGATATATATAATAATAATGATAACTACAAACATTGCCCCAATGTGGTATGTTAGGAAATAAAAACATCCCTATAACTCTAGCAAAATACACAAAACCCATGCACTTAATTAAAAAGCAAAAATCATCCTTGATAATGGCTAAAAGTATAGCCGAAAGCGATCAAACTTTTATAGAATATTTGGACAGTTTCTACACACTCTGTGTCCAGAAAAGAAAATACTTGCTCGAACTTAAAAAAATAGATTAAATAAAAAAAGCCTAATCGTAGTACCTTGTTCGTCGTCTTTAATGAAACATGTATAAAGGCCTAAATACACTATATATATATATATATATATATATATATATATATATATATATATATATATATATAAAAGAAATATAGTTTTAAGATGTGCTATATTTATAGGATAAAGTGCTCAATATCAGAGATATAAGTGAACATAGAAGTCAACACTCAGAGCGACAGTCTGTTTCGTGCTAGACGCAATCGTAACCTGACGATGGCGTTTAGCAGGAAACAGACTGACGCCTCTAAGTGTTGACTTCTATGTTCACTTTTATACAACCACCCACACACACACACACACACCCACACACACACACACACACACACACACACACATATATATATATATTGAAACTGATAGGATTAATACAAATGAGATGTGCCCGCTGATTTATGTTATATTGAGCACCTCGACTCTAGAATTACGTAGATTAAGTTTTTGTTCAATTTACTCATCAGGAGGTTTCAGTGTTGGACGGCCGTTATTCACATTTTGCGTTTGATGATGTAATGCTTAAAATGGATAGACATATTATATTTATTGAATATGTCCATTGACTTCTTCATCTGCGAATCACTTTCCGCAAACCTGGCTGCTGTGGATGCAAATATATATCTGAAATGAAGGCTGGGTCCGAGCTTTCGACTTACGTGTGTCATCTACAGGAGAGTGAAAAAATTAAACTGAAGGTAGTAAAATGCAATATCTTTTAAATTAAACATTTTATCAAAACCGTTTTTAGGGTTTCTTTTGCAATCACAGCTGTCAAGTTCGGTCTGCTTGGCTCTATATAACGGAATAGCAATTCCTTATGGGTCATTTCTATTCATTTTATTTTATTTTCTTGTGAGTTTTGTTAAATTTTTTTCCGGAAATGTTTTGCTGGTATTTTTCTTTTTACTATGAAAATGTATTGCTGATACTTTTTCTAATGTACTTTTATATTTTCATGTTTTGACCCCAGTTTGGGTGTTCACTATTTAACCATAGCTGGGACCCTAACAGGTGCTACTACCCTGAATCAGGGTGTAGCGCGGAACAACATAAATTAAGAGGTGGTCCCACACTCCTCAGAACCTCCCGATAAAAGACCTTGCTATCGGACAAAGTTTATTTTCAGCGGTCAGGTGTGCGGGAGATGATTCGCAGTTTTGAAAATAAAAATCGCTAACACACACGCATATATACATACATATATATATATATATATATATATATATATATATATATATATATATATATATATGTATGTATGTATGTATGTATATATATCTGTAGAAGAGGCAAAATGAATAAAAAGTGACAAGGGTTAAATCGACGCGCTTCGATTCTCTGAGAGACTTTATCAGGACAAGGTAGCATTTATTATGCTGCACGTGTTTATATACAAAGGCGAGGATGTCATTGGTTTATTAAAGCTTCTAAATTAGAGGACGTTCATGAATATTCATCAGGTGGTTGAAAGATCAGATAAAAAATGTGGAGGACACAATGTGTCCTAATTCAAAGTATCGTGAAAAGTAAAATGAGCGAGAAATATTCAATAATTATGTGGATTGTGATTAAATTATGATGGACATATTGCTATAAATCTTCAAAGGCTTAAGTAATGGACTAA